GGAGCGTGCCCGCTCCGACCGGCTTTAAAGGGTTAATAGTTGAGGTACAACTTTCAACACATTCATCCTCTGGGGCACCTACTGTACATCTGGGCCAGGTTTCATCTCAATCCGCTGCATCAATAATTGTTTAATATTAATAGATCAAAAGTGCTGCTTTTTCTTTCTATCGGGTTTGTTTTTCTTTACTCGAAGAGATCAAATTATAGGTCAAACTATAGGACAATTCAATAATCTCTGGATATTGGTGGGAACATGTCCTTTCTGTCCATGCCAAATCTACGCCCTTGATCTTATCATTATCTATCATTCACACATAGATGAATCATGAGCAACATGGGTATCTTGGGCAAGATACCTACCAACCTGGTCTATCACCTGAGTTACAGCCACACACTGAAACTTATTTTAAAGTCTTACAGGAAATTCAGTGTATCAACTCTGGTCAAAAGAATCCACGCTTCGTACTGATGTCCACAATTCTTTTTTATTCCTCTCACAATCATTGAGCGCTGTGAAAACTAGAAACAAGTAAAATAATATCAATAGCACATATGACATCCATCTCAACCAGTTATTACTTTTCACAAAGTGCACAAGTGCTTAACAAATTAACCAGCATGTTTTTACTGTGTACACCTTGTAAAACCAGCAGTAGACAAGTTGTAGATTCCATGTTCCGTGTTATCGTTGTCTTGTCTCTCTGGCGCACAACTTCCAGTTCCCGCGACTCACAGGAAGTGACTACTTCAGAATAATTTTTAACAGATACATTTGTTATAAAAATGTATCACTGGACTCATAGATTATCTCTTTCTACTGTAAGTGTACACAAACATGAGTCCCAAATACAGGAAAACAAATAGAAAACAATACAACGATCTCAGACACGATTCTGGTGTTGTCATGGCAACCCACACAAACATTTTATCATCAGCTACATTCAGTATGGTCACTTGTTATTGTTAGCCCCTTCCCAACCACTTCTGTCACAATTTCAGTCCCATCAGTCCAATATGCACACCAACATGCCAGAGGGCCAAGGAGTGATAAGACTTCAAACCTGCCTACAACTCATCTTTCTCATTTTGCTTACTGCCCTCTGCTGGTGGACCACCTGCACTACCACAGATCTTACTGATAATGGACTGAACCACTTCCTCAAGCTCCTTCTTCTTGGTCTGGAAGTCATCCAGGTCAGCATCTTGGTGGGACTCCAACCATTCAATCTTCTCCTCCACTGCCTTCTCAATGGATTCAATCTGGTTCTTCAGCGAGTATGCATAGCCTTCCAGCTCATTGTGAGCATTGATCCTCTCCTTCAGCTTCTTGTCTTCTTCAGCAAAGTGCTCGGCGTCGTTCACCATGTGTTTGATGTCCTCAGGTGTTAGCCAGTTCTGGTCAGTTATGATCTCGTTCTTGTTGCCTGTGGCCTTGTCCTCAGCAGTGACACATAAAATGCCATTGATATTAATCTCAAAGGTGACTTCAATCTGCGGTACTTCACGAGGAGCAGGAGGGATGCCAGTCAGGTCAAAGGTAGCCAGGAAATGGTTGTCTTTGGTCAAAGGATGCTCACCTAAAAAAAAAAAAAGAAAAAGAAAATTTTTTATAAAAACACTATTTGGCAACTTTAAAAAACAACATCCAAGCTCTTACCTTCATAGACTTTGATGGCGACAGTTGTCTGGTAATCAGAGGGTGTAGTAAACATCTGGGCTTCTTTGATGGGCACCACTGTGTTCCTGGGGATCAGCTTGGTCATTACTCCTCCAACAGTCTCAACACCAAGGGTCATGGGGCATACATCCATAAGAAGCACATTACCTGCAAGTGAGGGAAAAGGTTTACTAAACATTTGATCACATTTGACAGCTCAACCCTATTTAATAAAATATTTGTAAGAGTCATTACTCACCAGTGTCCTCCTCTCCAGACAGGTGGCTGAACGGGCCCCTCGGACCCTCCAGCGGAGACAGGTGGCTGAACGGGCCCCTCGGACCCTCCAGCGGAGACAGGTGGCTGAACGGG